AGATTTGTCGGAAGTGCGGTGTCCAGATTTGTCGCTTCTTCCCTTCTCGATTCGATCTGTTTTTTTTAGAAAATGAGGATGACCCCCGGCCTCTGCATCTGGGAGATGCATACGGGCACGCTCGATTCGATCTGTTGCAGCACGAAATGCATCGATCGTGGTTTTGAAATATCCGCACGGTCTCTACTCTCTAGGAATATGGTTTAACGGTGAGTTGAGCTTTCAGGTACACGTGTTTGCAGCAAGCGGTAATTTCTTACAATAGAAAAATCAAGGTATCATCAATCTATAAAGGTAATGGCGTTCTGCAATGCAACAGGGTAAATTTCTACGACACAAATACAATTCCGCTTGTGTCTCAACAATACCAGCAAGGATGTCAACCTTGCTGGCCTTGCTAACTATACAAGTTAACTAAAAGATAAAGTAGTAAATAATATTTTTTGTATCGTCAAAATAAAAATATAACTACTTTTAAAAAATAAAAAATATATATAACTAGAAATAAAAGTATAGGTAAAAATTACTGCAAGTTGAGTTTTATTATGCTAAAAACTGGATTGGGTTTCATAGGTTCATCCGGTGTATCTCTCCAATGCATAGAAATGCGGCAAAATGACATAGTCAAGTGAAAAAAAATGCAGAATGAAATATATCATGCCACGTTATATGTGATGTGTTCATATTATATAGGCAGTACGTCATAGATCAAGACATTCTCTGCATCAATAGCTAATAATCCGTTCATAGGTCATTCATATGAATCATTTCAGTCCTCATACAAGCATTTATCCTTAGTGACAATAATACAACACACGTTTTTTTCACTTTCTGACACTTCAATACTTTATTTGCAAGATTAAACCCAACTAATGAACATCATTCCCAGTATGTATTGTCTATCTAAACTGACCAAGACTAAAACGTGCAACTAAAGAGAATTATGCACCTATAAATTAGACATAAGGTATCCTTAAATCTAAAATAATAATTCATCAAATGGCCAACATCACCCTAGAGTTTATATCATATTAACATAATCATGTAGGCCAACTTATTTGGTTATTGTATTGACCTTCAAAATGGTGATATTACATCTTGGCTACTATCATAACGTGTAGCCCAGGGGATGGACTAGTCACAACACATCTAGGCGCGCGAGGTCGACGTTGGTGAAGATGGAGATGAATTCCCACTTTGACAGAGTAAAGGAAGATTGCCTCGGAACTTGAAGTGGCGACGGCGAAAAAATGGCCAATAACTCTAAGGGAAGTTTTGGGGCTATAGAATGACATCGAGCATTGGAGGCAAGAGGGCGTTGGGGTGCGTAGGTACTGGGCCTTGGCCGCAATGCCTCTTCAGGCATCCTAAGTTATTTCAATTGTTTTTGAATTTTTGGGGGCTCTAGTGATATTTTATTTCCTGAAATTAAAAACAACATAAAACGGGAACTTGCACTAGGCACACCATTAATAAGTTATATTAGTTCCTATTTTTTTTAAACATTGCACAACCGAAGGACGAAGCATAAAAAATTACAGATGTGTTGGATGTATCAACCGTCAAGTGGTAGACTCATGACACACACCTCACATATTATTCCTGGGTGACGTGGTAGAAAATTTTGATTCATAGCTATTGTAGCCTACATGTTCCCCGAAGTATTTTGATGAAGAAAACTAAGCACACTGGTCTTCCGACCATGTCCATCACGACAATCATATGGGGTTGATCGTAGAGCTAGCAAAGGGAAGGTTAGGGCCTCTTTGATTTGCATGGATTTTTTAAATGCCTTAATAGGAAAAACGCATGAATGGAATGTCATGCCATATTTAGTGCTACATATTTTTTTATGGATGCTTGACTATACGGAAGAAAAATTATGGGATTTTAAACAAGAGGTTGGAGTGGATGATTTTTTTTCTATAAAATCTTAGGGCAAATGAATCCTAAGAGTAATTCCTATGGATTGTCATTAAGAATAAACACTAAGGATCATATTCCTCCACTTCTTTTGGGCCTCATTGATTCACATGATTTTGAAATCGCGGGATTACAATCTTGGTAGGCAAAATTTCTAAGGATTACAATCCTCCAAAATTCCTGGGAGAGTCGGTTGAATCAAAGAAACCCTTAGAAATCTTGTGAGGATACTCGGGATTAAAAAAACATAAAAATAGAGAAAACGTATGAATATGGTAGGATTGCATGTACTCCCTCCATTCCTAGATATTTGTCTTTCTACATATTTCAACAAATGACTACATACAGAGCAAAATGAATGAATCTACACTCTAAAATATGTCTATACTAGCAAGATGCTCGTGCGTTGCACAGAACATCAAGATCTCGTGGGAGAAAAGGATGAACGAGGAAAGGCCTTATCTGCAAATGTGGAAAGGAGTGCGGTTAAATTGTCATAGTTTCCTTCCTATAAGTTAGATATAGATTGGACGACCTATATTGCAAGATGGTAGGCACACCATCATCACCAACTCTGCTTTTTATAAGAGTAGATAGATACATCCGTATGTGGTAGTTCATTTAAAATCTCTAAAAAGACTTATATTTAGAAACAGAGAGAGTACAAAATAGAAAATTTTGGAAACACATGAATTTGCATAATTGTATGTTTGATTCACAGGAATAAGAAAAACACATGAATCCCATAAAGTAGTCAAATTATAAGGTTAGTGCATATGCGAAGGTAAGATTAAGTCAATATGTGCTAGTTATGGCCTTTGTCTTGGTCTTTGTGTATAGGAATTTGAAGAAGATGTTGGAGTGGATTGTAAAATTCCTTTGTTTCTCCTGTGAAACCCAAACCAATGAAAAAATCTCTTAGTTTTTCCTGTGGTCCATTTTGTTAAATCAATTGGATGAATAGTGTAACCATAAACATGTTTTACCTTCACTTTTACTTCGTCCAGGTTTATTGGGCTACCTCATATTTTAGGTCAAACTTTGACCATCTTATGACTAACAAAATATGAATTATACGCTATAAAAAATATAATGTTGGACTGACGAGCTCATGGCGGAGCTCGCATGGGCGGAGGGGAGCTCGGCCAAGGCGGCGAAGCCCCAATCTTTCGACACTCTAGGCGACGTGGGCTCGCAGGGGCGGGTGCCGATTCTACAAGATGTGGTGGGTCCACTATGAGCCACATAGCTTCGAGGGAAAGGGAAAAAAAAATAAGAGGAGCTAGCCAGGGAGAAGATTTTTATAAACAAAGAAATGAAATTATTTGAGAAACAAAGAGGCTGCCAACACCCTTATATAGACCAAAAAAGTTAGTGCTGGCGTGGTCCAAAAGAGTTTTTTCACACTATAATTTTTGTGACATACTGTATATTTTACATTTTGTTAAAAAAATTTCTTCAAAACGGAGGCAAAAGAATTGCCTCATTGATTAATTAAGAAGAAGAGAATTGCCCGGACGGAGGTAATTTTGCAGCGATTCAGTTTCACTAGAGAAAGAGAGACGTGAGATCATATTGAGCACCACCG